AAAGTGGAAACTGAAATGAGGAGAATTAGGCCTTTTGAGAATGACTTTCTAACCATCTGTTTGTCAGGCTAGACTACCCACAGTTCCTCTGGGAAAGATGACTCTATGGACCATTTGGTACCTGGAGAATCGATCACTGTAACCGCTTCTTTATTTGATAATTAACGCTTTCTAGAAAGCGTTACATACCTAACATGGGCAGTCCCTGAGACACACTTCACCGTGCCTGGACTAGAAGCCAGGAGGCCTCAAGGACAATACGGTATCTGCCCACAGCCCTGTCATGTGACCGTGAACTCGGGGCCTAACTTCCCCATCTTTAAAATGGAAGGACGTCATCAGGATGGACTGGGCCTGACCTTCCACTCAGAGTCTGCAGGGAGAGAGCATAATGATCAGGGTTTGAAGGAATGCTGGTCTGAGAGGCTATGAATGGTGGAACAGGGAATGAAGCCAATTCTACCCAGATTCACTTGGGCTGCAGGTGGGGCATCGAACCCACTCTAGCCTATTTTCTCTCTTGATTTCCTAGTGGCTGCTGGAGAAGTTGCCAACTTCGGGGCCTACGCATTTGCTCCTGCGACAGTCATCACACCTCTGGGAGCGCTGAGTGTCCTCATAAGGTTATTGTCACCTCTCTTGCTGTCTCTGGCTCCTTTCTCTATGCAGTTTATTGAGGGTTGGAACTGCCAAGTGGGGTCAACTGCCACTAGTAATCGGACCTGGGTTGGTCGCAGCTCCCAGAAAGACACAGTGTGCTGTTCAGAGCTCTGACTCCCGGGGCTGTTTGCTGCCAGTTGCTCTAGTTTCCCCTCAAATGTCTGGGCAGTGGAGGGGCAGGCCAAGCCCAGGCCAGTGGGAAGGGCTTCCACTGCCCCAGACTGGAGGTCTCATGTCAGTGTTTTGCTGCCCCATGGGAGAAGCACACAAGTTCAAAGCTTGAGTCCGAGATTACCGCTCCCTGAGGCCTCGCCTTAAGCTTTACCACTTAGTAGTTACGTTACCATGTGCAAGTCACTTAACTACTCTAAGCCTCAGTTTCCCCATCTGCTAAGTGGGGGTGCTAATGATACCTATCTGAAGGCCTTGTGGTTAGGACTAAATGAGATAATGCACGGAAAGTGCATAGTCAGAACTGGCACTGAAGAATAACCATGGTTGACATATATGGAGGGCTTAGCATGTGCTAAATGTTCTACATGTATTCCGTGTATTAACTCATTTAATCCTGACAGCATCCTTACTAATTAGAAAGCAGGGGAGACCTGAGGCCAAGAGAGGTTAAGCGACTTGGCCAAAGTCACCAGGTCCCAAGAGGCCAGGCCAGGACCCCCACCCAGACAGTCTAATGTCAGAGCCCAGGTGCTTAACCACATGCCATGTTGCCTTGCAAATGTCTGATAGTTTTAAAAATAACAGACAGTAATATGTGTGCTTCCCATTGGCCCATTCCTCCTGAGCTACAAACAGCTCCTCTGTGGGGGTCCTGAGCCCCATTTGAGGCTGGCTCTAACTGACTTAACCTTGGAGCCCTGGTCAATCCCAGCCAACCACACTCAGTACCTATAATTTCCTCTGTTTCGTTTTACCATCTTGATGACAACTTTGCAACATTTATGCAGTAAACAAACAAACAGAGCCATGACTCACACTGCACAGCTGGCTGATGTCATCCTGACCCTTGTGCATATCTGATCACAAATTCCCACCCATGGGAAGTTGGGAGATGTGGGAATTCTCCAGTGTGTGACCTTTGTCTATGCTAATGCCACCAGACTCTCTTGAAGGGGCATTGTGGGTGAAATGTTTTGGGTAGTTTTAGAGGAAAGATGGGAGACATCAGAGGAGCTTGGACATCAGTCCTCTCTCTCCTGACACCTCTAACTGGGACTTTTGAGGCTCTTGGGTCCTAGGTCAGCCAGCGGACTTTTACCCTAAACTAATGCCACCTTTGTAAAGAAACAGAAGCGTCCTCCACCAATTACACCTGCCTTGCCCAATTTCCCTCCTCCTTTCCCTCACCTCTGCTGGCTCATCTAGAAGATGTGAGGAGAATGAAAAGCACGTCACCAAGGAACAGCAAGGAACTGGAGATATTTTACCCAGAAAAGAGGAGACTTGGGGACGTCACAAGGATTTTCTTCATTTAGGCGTGGAGGAAAAACCATAGGCTTTATAATGAGACTGAACTGGAACTCAAATCCTGGCTCTGCTACTACCCGGTTGTATGACCTTGCCAAGTTATTTTATCTTCTGTGATACTCAGTTTTCTCATCTATAAAATGGAGATAGTATATTTTACTTCTCAAGGAACTGAGAAGTAAAATATGCTAGTGAGATTATAAATGGAAAGTAATACCTAGTACGTAATAATACATGCCCAAGATGCAGTGCCTGTAATGTCGTCATGGTTGTTTATACTGGCATATACAAATGGAAGAAGGAATAGATTTGTTCTGTATGGCTCAAGGAGCAGAAATAGGACAGTGAGTAGAAATTACCATACTTTTGGTGAATAATTAGAATGTACCTACAATGTATTCATTTGCCTTGTGAAGAGGTGAGCTGCTTGCCACCAAAAGTATACAAGCCAAGGCTGAAAGCCATCTGTTTGCAACGTTAAGAGAAAATGTGGGGCCGGCCGAGTGGCACGTTGGTTAAGAGCTGGCTTGGGACGCCAGAGGGCTCTGGTTCGGATCCCACATATGAGGGCCAGTGACACTGCCCTCTACAGCTAAGATGCTGAACAACAGCTCAACCTGGAGCTGGGCTGCCCTGAGACGCTGGTGGCGAGGCGTAGGCTGCAGCCCCTGCTGCAGGGGTTTCCATGGGTTACCGTGTGTAGCCAGCAGGCAGCGTGAGCAGCTGTCCAGAAGCCAGCAACTGATCTGCCTTGCCCGGGAAGAGTGCAATGATGGTGCCAACTTGAGCCAGTGAAGTGACGTCCTCCACAACTAGACTGAAGAACAAAAAGGACAGCAACTTGTTTGTTCCCCTTCCCCCAATTCCCCAGCACTGTTCCCATCCCCCAATTCCCCAATAAAAATCTTTAAAAAAAAAAGAGAAAATTTGCTCATTGGGTAGGAAGCTAGACAAGAGTGCTTTGAAGGGCTTTTCGAGCTTTTATGTTTTGGGACACTATCAGTCTCTAAAAAGAAAGAAACTCACATGTACATATGCTGTCAATCCCTCCAGCATACACTGTACCCCCCCTCCCACCCCCCGTTAGTAAGTTTCTATTTCAGACGTCTTGGGGGAGCTGTCTAGAAAAGCTCCCATGCGAGACAGTAGTGAGTCCTGATCTGTTGTTCCCCGTGAGCGCTTGCTCAGCCCCAATTTCTCTTCACGACACTGGAACCAGCATGGCTGCCTAATCCCTCTCTCCCATTTCCACGCGCAGTGCCATCCTTTCCTCGTATTTCCTGGGAGAGAGTCTGAATCTGCTGGGAAAGCTGGGCTGTGTGATCTGTGTGGCTGGCAGCACAGTGATGGTGATACACGCCCCCGAGGAAGAGAAGATCACCACTGTCATTGAAATGGCTGCCAAGATGAAAGACACAGGTAGGTTCCAAGTCACCGGTGAGCGGGAAAGTACTGGAGGATGAACCAAGCAGAAGGGCTGCCTGGGTGCAGAGCATCTCAGGTGCTGCCACCTGGAGGAGAAGGCAAGTTAAAGAAAGGAAGTTGGTGGGCTGGTCCGAAGGCCAGGTTACAAGCTTCCCAGCCTGATAGATAGAGTGATACCATTTATTGTTTCTTATGTGCCAGGCAGTGTTCTAAATGCTCTATATGTGTTGTCTTAGTTCGGGCTGGTACAATAGAGTACCATAGACTGAGTGGCTTATAAACAACAGACATTTATTTCTCACAGTTCTGGAGGCTGGGAAGCCCACGACTAAGGTGCCAGCAGATTCTGTGTCTGGCGAGGGCCTGCTTCCTGGTTCATAGATAGCCATCTTCTCACTGTGTACCACCTGGTGGAGGGGGCGAGCTCTCTGGGGTCCCTTCTAGAAGGGCACTAATCCCAATCGTGAGGGCTCCACCCTCATGACATAAGCACCTCCCAAAGGCCACTATCTACACCATCACAGTGGGGATTAGGTTTCAACATATGAATTTGGGGGGTGGGGACACATTCAGTCTTACAGCATACATTATCTCATTTAATCCCACGAAGAAAGCTCTCTGAGGAAGGTCTTATTATTAGCGCTATTTTACAAATAAGGGAATGTGACCCTGGGGTGATCAGTCTCCCTCCTCTGCTAAAGGGTACATAGTGTTTGCTGTGCTTCTGCTGGTGTTCTGCCTCATCCTCATCTTCGTCGTCGCCCCACGTTACGGACAAAGGAACATCCTCGTGTACATCGTCATCTGCTCTGTGATCGGCGCCTTCTCTGTGTCCGCCGTCAAGGGCCTGGGCATCACCATTAAGAACTTCTTCCAGGGGTTGCCGGTGGTGCGCCACCCCCTGCCCTACATCCTGTCCCTCATCCTGGCACTTTCGCTCAGCACTCAGGTCAACTTCCTCAACAGAGCGCTGGACATTTTTAATACCTCCCTGGTGTTCCCCATCTACTACGTGTTCTTCACCACGATCGTGGTCACCTCCTCCATCATCCTCTTCAAGGAGTGGCACAGCATGTCTGCCGTGGACGTCGTGGGCACCCTCTCTGGCTTTGTCACTGTCATCCTGGGTGTGTTCATGCTTCACGCTTTCAAGGACCTGGATATCAGCCGGACCAACTTGCCCCACATGCACAAAAACCCACCGCCCACTCCCGCCCCAGAACCTGCTGCCATTAGACTAGAAGACAAGAATGATCTTGTGAACAATATAGAACTCTCCAGTACCCCATCGCCAGGAGAAAAGCCCAAAGTGTTTATAATTCAGTCTTAAAGCTTGGAATACATGAGCAAGAGGATGAACCCTATGGGACAGCCTGACGTCCCCGGTTCAGAGCCAAGCCACCTGGTTATTTTCAGCACAACTGTTACCAGTGGGCTCTCATTTCTGAGACGTTCATTTATACCTCATCACTGTCTCCGGGAGAAAAATCCCTACCCAGGGAGTGGGGGTGGCAGAGCTTCCTGGAAACAAAGCCTCAGTGACCAAATACCCTACTTCCATCGTTGCCAGCAGGTCCCCTGGACCCCCCCCCCTTCCCACTTGTTTCCTTGGTGCCATCTCTGTGTTGTTGGGAACAAGATAGAATTTGACCTGTTGAATGTAGCACAGTCTGAGAACTTGCCGAGACATCCTTAGCACTAGTTCTCCTGAGACTGACTCGCCATTCCTTAGCCCAAGGATGAAGTAAAGCTGGCTCGAGGCGCAGAGAGCAATTCGCCACGCCTCCCTTCCAGAGCTGACAGACACAACTAGTGAAAAATGTCTGGCTGATTTTGCCACTTCCTCTTCGGAGACAGAAACAAGACCTCAGCTGACCTTCTTACTGTGAACACCACCTGATGTCTCAGGGAACCATTTCCACCGCCGTCTGCACTCCCCAAGCACTCTAGCCTGGAGGTCAGCATCTTTGTCCCCATCTACTGCACCCCCATGCCCGCCCCTTCCCTCTCTATATTCGTGGAAGGAGTCAGTCGCTGAGACATTCAGGCAGTTATGTCAGAACTCAAAGCCACAGCACCCACAACAGAAGATGCTTCGCAGCCAAGCTCTGCTGGCCAAACCCAGTGTTTTATTTTGCCTAACTCTGGAAAGAGGACAGCAGTTGCACTGCCCTTAAAAGTACCCTGTCAAGCTAGAATTTGGCAGACCGCACTTTTCTTTTCCTCAAGGAGTAAAGCAAAATAAGATTTGGAGAGGTGGCAAGAGTGAAGAGCAAAGTCAGGATTTGGCAGGAAGCAGACAGACAGGGCTAACTTTTGTGTTTACTCTGGTGCCCAACCAAGGCCCCGGGTGGAGAGGGCTCTGGGTAATTTCTCAGCTCCCGCCTTAGAGGCTTGGCCAGTGGAACCACTTTTGGACTTCAGTGACCACCAAGTGGAGTGTAGGCTTGGCACAGATGCATTCTGGCTGTTGACCAGATTGCCCCAAAGTCCCCAGCTGATGTGTTGCCCACCTTGGGATGTCATGATGTGTCATGGCGTGTCATGCTGCTCCAGCACCACCTGCTTTGGGGACTGCCTTTGGTCCCCTCACATTTGGCCAGAGGCATTCAAAACACAAGAGCAGCTGGAGAGAGATATAATTGATACCCTTCCCTTCCTGTGTTTTCTCGAGCTGCAGGAGTGTGGGAGTTGGTACGAGGACCAGTGAAAGGGAAGTAAGGGAGTCAGCATCTCTGTAAAGAGGGAGGGCTTGATCCTCAGCCCCCAGGTTGGTGTAATGCCTCCCCTGTCCTACTCCATACCTGCCCCTGTGTTTACGTCCCATGTTCTAAGCGCAGCCAAACCCAAACCAAACTTGCTGGCCCTGGAGCTCCAAAGGCTCAGCTGACCCAACAGGCTGGCTTCCTACACCTCCAGCCTCAAACCCCCAGTGTTTAGTGGATGTGGATGTGTCTGTAACTAAAATGAATGCAGCACTTTGGATCTTGAGAATGGCAGTCATCTGAGGAGCCTGAGAGTGTGATCTACAGGGTCAAGAATAAAGACCTGCGAGTGTGTTTACTTTACACTTGCGTCTTAGCCTTCCTTGCACATGGAACAATGAAACCGGCTCCTTTAGTGCTGGTTCCCAATCTCTGGAGGGTTGTGGCTTCCAAGGAGGTCCCTACAGTGGTTTTCACAGTCCTTGCAGGAGTAGGAAAGGCTGTTTTGGGGACAGTCATCGCTTGTTAGCGCCTGATCCCTTACTAGAAGCCTGGCACAGCGCTAAGAGCTTTATGTGAATTCTCTCGTTAAGTCCTCAAAACTCCCCAAGGCAGATATACTTTGATCCCCATTTTATGTATGAGGAAAGGGTCTCAGGGAGGTTAATTGCCCAAGGTCACATAGCCAGGAAGGGTCAAAGTTACTGTCTGGCTCTGAGCCTGCAGCCTTAACCACCAGGCAGTTAGAGTGTCTCTCCAAAGACTAAATCTGTCCCCACGTGCATAGTCTATTAGTGCTCTGTTCATTTCTTCTTGTGACTTGTGCTGTCTCCCCTGAGAGTTGGCTGTAGTACCACTCCTCAGAGTACAGGGCACACATGAAGGCCCGATGGATGTCCTAAGCACATAGCTGGCACTCATAAAAACATTTATTGCATGAAGGAGAAATATTCCAAAGTCCTTCTTTTCCCAAACTTTCTTGGGTGCCAGCTCTCAAACCAGAACAGATCCTAATGGAACTCCAACATGTTAAGCACAGCAACTCTAAAACTGATGTAGTCAGCGGTTTCTGATCACTTAGCCTGTGCTAAGCACAGCTGGATGCTTTCACGTAGGGCACCTCACTAATGATCACGACACTTTTTAGGTAGATATTATTCCCACTTGTATAGTAAAATGCGACTCAGAGTTCTGGAACTTATCTGCTCTCACACATGTAGCAAGCAGCAGAGCTGGGATTTGAACCCAGGTCTGTCCAGCCAGGCTCTGTGTTTTATCCTGCTGACCAATGTGTGACTATCAACCCAGAGACTGGCCAACAGATGGTTTGGATGACAGTGTTAGGTGGACAGGGGCATTTGGGTGGGGGATAATTTCATGAGCAGGCCTTTTAGTAGTCAGGACATTTGTGTTTGATGCCTTTGATGTTTCTTTAAGGCACACACCTCACAATGAAAAGTTAGAAAAGTATAATCTGATCTCAAGGATCCCTCCCATGGCTTTTGTGAGGATTCGATGAGATGAAGTAGCACTCAGCGCCCAGCATGTGTTAAGTACTCGGTAAATGTTAGCTGCTATCATGGTTATTATGCTTCCATCTCTCTTAGAGAACCTCAGAATTGAAGTGGGGATCAGATGAATGAGGGTGGGATCCTTTTTCGGACTGGGAAGCACTAGTGGATGTGAGCTGTTATCACCCAGGGCTCTGCAGTCAGAAGGCACGCCCACCCAGAGCCGCAGCGCTGTGCCTGGCCACCTCGCCCAACAGACCTTGAGCAAGTCCTCCCCTCTTTGAAGTGCATGGTCCCTAGCAATAAGATGAGAACAGAGGGTCTCAACTGTCTGCTAAACACCTATCAGGGAATCCATGCCTTTTGTAACCCAAGGCCTAATTAAACTATATCAGCCTATGTCCAAGTGCAAAGACCAACAGCCCTTCGACGGGTCCTGGGGGAGCCCAAGGCTTCTGTTTAGCTCAAGGTCTTCCATTACAGCCTGATAGGCTGACCTGATGGTCTTTGCGGGCACTCTTCTTCTGAGAAGTCCTCATGTGACACATCCTCTCCAGGCTGAGCAGTAGGACATTGAAATAAACAAACAAAAGAGAGTTGCCAAACCAGACAGCATTTCAAATGACAATTTATTTTAATTAAATATAAACAAGGAAAAAAGGCACCATGGCCCATTCAAGTATTTTGCATAGATGTACAAATATTGTAAACAATTAATAGGTGAACGAGAGAGAAGAGGATCTGTTTCCCATGAATAATCTCCCAAATAAAAGAAAATTCACATTGCCCTGGATCCCAGACACATACATACACATAGTGGATGGTGTGAGAGGATGCGGGGAGGGGTAATTTAGGGGGTGCTTGGCTTGGATTCTGCAGAACCCCTCTTAGCACCTTTCCAGTTGGTGTTCTCTTGGCTTTCTTGGCTATCCAGCAGAGCTGTTATACACACATTTAACGCAATCACTGACTTTAGAACTGGTCCCCAATTTAAATATGCAAGTCTTCCATCACCTCTCCCCAAGAACAAATTTGGATGTAGGTAAGGGGGCGCTTTGGATTATTGCAAGAAATGGTAAGGGGCTACCGCAAGAGGGGGAAGGGGCTATTGCAACACCACGAGATCTGCAAGTGTCTCAGAGCTGGGGCAGGAAGGGGCTTTGCTTTTATAGGGAGAAGTAAACAAGGCTAAAAGAGAACCCAGGGCAAGCAGGTCGTTAGGAGATGGGGAGCCACGTGCCTGGGCTAAACGCTCCCACTGAGACGGAGCCAGGCGCTATCTCCCTTGGGTCCCCTGAGGTTTACATTTCAGAGATGGCTCCCAGGCTCTGAAGAAAAGTATTTCCAGGGTTGTAAAACCGGCAGAAGGTTAAATTAGCTTTTAAAAAGATTTATATGCATCTCCATCTGAACAAAGGGCGGGTCAACTCACTCCAAGCTTTAGTTAAGCTCTTTTCCTCCCCCCACCAGACTCTGACCCTCAGCCTGAGCCAACACACAGCCAGCCCCTCCCCAAAAGGCTGAGCACAGACACAGAGTACCTGACCGAGCTTTACAGCCCAGTTCACTCCCTCCTACAGAAGGAACGGCCTCTTCCTTTCTGAGCTCTGGGATACTGGCAGACCCCTGCAGCAGCGTTCTCCCTATTGCAATAGCCCCCTGCGCTTACAGCAATATTTCCTCTCCCAATCTTGCAGTAATCCTTCCAAATAAAGTCCCTCCTTCCTTAAATCTGTATTTATTTTTGTCACCTCAAAGCAGCACAAGAGCACAGGAGGGAAAAGAGGGCATGCCACGGCCGGTCTTGCTCCTGGGCCTCTGCCTACTGGAATGGCGATGCCAGGCTCCCTGAACAGAGCCAGGAGAGAAAACAGTAAAAAAAACCGGCTGCCAGTCTCCATCAAATTTTAAAATGTGACCATCTTCCAGTTCACAGTACAAATTTATGGGATGGAGGGGAGGTGGTATTAAAATAATGGAAAACATAAACAAGAAAGCAACAACCCAGGTCTCTTTCTGGTGTGGTACGAGGGAGGGTGGATTTCGGGTTCGCAAGGCTCACGCAGCCACAATGGCTGTGGCTTTTCCCTTCCAAGCCTTCTACCTGCTGGTGTCGGGGAGCAAAGCTGGGCAAGCCACAGGACTGTCTGTGAGGCATGGGTCTGGCTTTAACGATGATTTGGTTTTCTGGTTTTTGGTTTTTTGCGGGAGTTGTTTTCACCTTTACTTTTCTGGGACCCAGCCTTGAGACCTGGGACCTTTGGGGTAGCACAGTTAAATGGCAGGCTGTCCCCTGACTTAATCCGGCAGCAAGAAAGGTGGTCCATTGGCTATGGGGGACAACCAGGGCTCATGTCAGGGAGACAGGAGCGTAAATATCACGACTACCTGAGGGAAGAGAACCTCATTTTCCTGAGATCTTTCTAATCCACCCCGTGTGTCCCCAGGTGCAGATCCCACATCTCCCCCTTTGTCTACAAACCCAGGAACATCTATTGAGCACCTATTGTGTGCAGAGAGCTGTAAGGGGGCCCTGGGGTGGTGGCTGGGGAGTGAAAGCTCAAGTCTCTTCCTTGCGCTGAGGTTTTCAAGAGCAAACAACTGCTCCCTGCAGGAAGTGGGGAAGCCCCAGCCACACAGCACCTTTCTGGGGGTGGGAGGCAGTCCCAGAGAACGTTCCAGTGACAAGCCATACAACTGCGCAGAGCACTACACAGCCCCCCTTCCCTGCCCCGGGGACAGTAGGATCCACTAGAGTGGCATCCACTGATCCGGGCTGAGTTCTTTCTGTGAGTGCCAGATAAAAGCAGGGACCTGAGGAGGGAACGCCAGGAAGTGGGTCCTAAACAGCCTGGTTGGCCCCAGCTCAGGCTGCAGGCTGCCCCATCAAGGATGTTGACTGCTGCTTCTCTAGGGACTCCAGAGACAGGTCTGCTCTCCGCTCAGGCGGCAACGGTCCTGCCTCAAGTCAGTGACCAGACTCAGGGACAGAATGGGGTTCCTAGGATGTCTACTCCTGCACTGCACCTGCTGCTGTCCCCGGGGACTCTACTTTCCTTAGATTTAGGTCAGGACGTAGAGGGGAGACCCTCACCCTGCTGAGCTCACAAAACACAATGGCAAATAAAGCTACGACCCCCACAGCCATGGCCCACGTCTACTGAGGTCAATACTCTTGAGAACCAAGGTAGGAAACCCATTGGCAGGGCCCTGACTTGTAGGGCACTAGCACCAGATCCCCAGGAAGTCGGGACTGCTGAGGGTCCACCCTGCACAGCACCACACATTAGATGGGTCCAAGTGGGGAAGGAGAAATCAAAACCGCGGGGGACTTGGAAAGTGCAGAAGCAAAGACAAAGGTCAACCAAGAATTATCGTTGCATCAAGAGTCAAAACCTTTGGCATTACGGCTCAGAGGAGGCCTGGTGCTCCCCCTGCTGTCTACACTGCCTACAAATAGTACCTGTCTGAGTCAGAGTGACCCGTGTAAATAAGGGGGTGGGGGGGTGGGGACGGGACTTGACTTGTTCACGTGTGGCCACAGAGCCAGAAGCTGTGACATCAACCAAGCCGTGGGCAGGGCCACAGCTCTCAATCTCAGAGCTAAAACGGATGGGGAAGTGCCCAGCCTGTCTAGCCTGGGACCTTCTAGGAAGACAGAAGCAATGGAAAGCTCTCATGCATACCCTCCACGATAGGACGAGGATGGATGGCTTCTCCACGCTAAGTCCTGACCTGAAGGGCTAAAGGGGACTTTTCCCAGTTGGGCTCACAGCTCAGACAGCCTGGGCCGTCTCCACTGGCAGCTCTGAGGTCAGGGGCCAGTTGAAGGGCGGTTGGAGGGGAGCTGCC